TACTAACGACATCTGCTATGTGACCTAAGTGGTGGCGCCTCATCGTCTGCCTGGGTCGAGGTGACTGCTGTGAAGTCCTGAGAGCAAGGTTTGGTGAGGCTTGGGGGGACTCGTATTGGGGAAACACTACGGGAGTCATCCCTCATCAGTCAAAGATGAACTGAACTGGCGCAGAAGCCGATGATACTTTCGGGGAGTCAGGTTAAAAAATGAAACGACTTAGTACTAGTTGCAACCAATTCAGGGCGACCCGAGTTTTAAGTCTCCCAAGCATTTGGCAGGTTAGAATGTAAAGGGTAGCAGCTTGGAGGGGATAGGAAAAGAGGCTGGTGTTGAGACGGAAAGCATGGGAGAGCTTCTGTAAAGCAGCCTAAGCATCCTAAGCCCATCCCAAACATCAGTATTTGTGGGTATAGCTCCTAACAACCAGCAAACACCCCCCCCCCCCCAAAAAAAAAAAAAAACATGTTCTTGAATGATTGATGTTTGCGGTCCGGAAGAACAATAAGAAGATGTAACAAGCCTCAAAGGGAAGCAAAGCAACAACAGCATCACAATTTCAACGATAAGTAATGCAACGATCCATGCGGCTTTCTGTCTTTTCTGCTACGAGTCTTGAGGTCCGGGCCCGGAGTTTTGTAATTGGCTGTTTTTATGTGCACTCCCTGGCCTGAATTGCCTCGCGAACTGGAGTGCGTTATGTGCTCAGTAAAGGCTGAGGCTTATGTTTGAGCAAACCACGCACAGAGTGCTGGGCCTCATTAACAAAACCGTTTTGCCTCTGTATCCTTCCACCTGCAGAGTTGCTCAGCCCCCATGCGTAAAGCTTCAAAGCATGGCAATAGCGAGTGAGCCCATACAACTGCTCACCCAAGCTGTTTGCTTCGTACTGAGCCCTTGAGGACCACCACTGTGGGACTGTGGTGCCTGTGCAGCACCTCCAAAGCCTCCAAACCTGGCAACCACCGTCAACCACCTCATCTGCGATCGTCACCTCTGCCTACCGAATTCCTGCAGTTCCTGCAGATCCGATACCTTCAAAGCAGTTGATGCCTGGGACGTGTCCTTTCGAGTTCACGACCTGCTTAGCCCATCAAAGCATTCGCATAAGGAAGAAGAGACGGCATACTGCTTTTTGCTGTTTACCTTCTCTCCTGGTTGCATTCGTTGTCTGTTGCACGTTCACTTGAGTCTTGCAGCGCAGTGGCTCTTCACTACTGCCACCCAGTCCGCTTTCAAACACCGTATGCAACCTTTGATTTAGAACTTCAGCCAGGGTGCCAGCTGCTTCGGCCTAAGCTCCCTTAGCCGCTGGATGCCAGCGACACGCGGCGGCCCTGGCGCCTAGGCTGACGAGGCGCGAAGGAGGCACCGGCCAGCCCAAGCTTCCCCACACTGACTTGTGCCCATACAATCCCATGTATGAGCCCAGTAGCCCTGAACCATACAGTTTTCGATGGCAGAACAGCACAAGCCCTTTCATGCCCTTTGTGAGTCCAGGCTGCAGTCTTTGCTGACGCTGCGGATGCTGCGGCGGCGCAAGGAGTAGTTTGGAGTGACCGCCGAGGGGTTCGCACCTGGTACGGGTTTGCAGCTTTGGGCTTTTGACTTCAAGGCTGCGGGGTCGCAAGTCACAGGGTCAGATATCACACCAACTATAAGCCAGGCGCAAACACGAGTGAAAAGCAAGTTAGGACAACGCAACCCTTGCAACTTTCGAAGGTGCCTCTCCTCACGCCTATTGAACTAGCACAATCACGCTTAGTACATCCTCAGGCTTCTCTTTTCGTACACCAGCAGTCTCATGACAGTCTGTAAGTTAAACGTTGACAGAGCTTGCGAAAACCCTTGCGCAACGTGTTGATGAAGCTTCGAGCGTATTGCGTGGGGTCTACATATATCTAAGTGACCCAACATGACGTTAACCATTGACCCATCTTACAAGCTTTGAATGAGAGATTGTTGCCTATCTTGGAGCGTCGGGGATCAGGCTTCTGATGTTAGTGGAAATGCGCTGCTCCAGTTCTGAAGCACAAGTTAGTACCCACAAGCGCCAGTGGTCGGCCCATAATCCCAAACTTAGACCCTTGCCCAAACCCGAAGCTGTTAAACCTTAAGCGCATGTCCTGAAAGAAAGGCTGCCCACCTGTTTGTACAGATAGCAAGCGGGCTTACGGGTTCTCAACTTATGGTTACTGTGCTTGATCAAACACAGGATGCTGTTCATTGTGTGCCTCTGTGGACTAGGCCCCAAAACTAAGCCCGAAGTCCAAACTGAAACCTTGAATCGAAAGTAAAACCATCCCAACAAGTGCTCCTAAGCCTAAAAGCTTGGTCGCCCCAAACCTCAAGTATCCTGCGTGCCTTGACCACAGCAGGCGCGGAAGCTGGTGCAGAAACCGATGCGGAAGTTGAGGGCATTGAAACTCTGGAGCTGGAAGGTGTGGCCAAGTCCTCCGCATAGGCGCATGATAACTTTAAAGTCTGGGAGTCTGGGAGTGAGAGCTTGGAGTAAGGTTGAAGCCAGGGTGAAGGAGAGCTTGGCTGCCACGGCAGTGTGAACTCGTGGGTCCAAACGACTTAATCCCCTGAATTCCCCAGCCCGAAGTAGGAGTTTGGGACACACCACGGCGTCGCCAACCGGTGAAGTACTAACCCATGAACATCAAAGCTTTGATGGCTTTGGGTCGAAACGTCCCTTGCATGGCACATGCATTGCACACGCATGCGCATCTAGGAAACGAGCTCCCAACTTCGAACCTCGGCAGAGAGCTGCTTCCGGAAGACGGAGATGTGGCGCTCCAAACGCTGGGCTTCGGTGTCGGGCACTCCTGCAGCTGTCGGACTTCAAGCTCTTGAAGTATCTTGAAGTGAATCTTGGCTGCTCTTCTGCCTCGTAGAGAGCTACGTTGGACTTGTGTAGGGGTTACGGAGCCTTAACAGTCTTTTTTTGGGGCTCTTCAGGGTTTTAGACCTGGGAACTTCGGGTCTTGCAGAGCCTTGTGGGGCGAACGGTGGAAGTTGGTTGGGCGAACAGGGTTTCGGGGATAAACTGATGAGTTCATAGCAAGCATGATCCATAATGTGGTGTACTGGTGCGTAAATAACAGACTGCATGGTGGGTGGTTCGGACTGGCTGCAAGGTGGCGTGCGGGCAACTCAATACCAACCATGCTCGCCTTAGACCAGTGCAGAATGATCCTGATTCGTGCGTGGATGAATTGGGAATGGGACATAACATAAGTTAATCATGGTTCGGGCATGGGTGCCACTCACTCACTCACTCACTCACGGCTTGCGAAGAGTCTTCAAGCCGAGCAGGGGGACTTAGCCCCGGTGTGTTGGCAGGGATGCAACGAAACAAAGCAGGGCTCCAAGAAAAGTGCAAGGGCGGCAAGAGGCAGGTACGCGTATCGAGAAACTATCGACATGTGAGGGCTTCATCGTTAGTTCCCGTTGAAGCTTCTGAACATGTTGGCGTAAATGGCAAGGATTGAAGGACCAAACGCTTGGAAACTCTCGCTCACCCGGCTCCTATGGCTTTCAGCTGGTCGACATCACCGCGCAGAAGTGCAGATCCAGAAATGTCCTCGCGCTCTGGCGTTCTGGGATTAGGGGTATCCCTGCTCCCCTTAACCTCATTGCTGAGCGGCCTAAAGGCTCAAGGCGTTTTGAGGCTCCGCAAGTAGACCTCGAACCCTTTATGTTCACGGACGTCCCCCAGACGTCCGTGAACACATTTTCTGAGGAGCGGCATGAAGTTCCCCTCTTCCGTTGGCAACAGCTCGCAAGCTAGTTGCTTTGAGATCCATCGGAGACTCTTAAGGCGTTACACCGCTACAGGCCTCAGAGCGCAGTGCTCCATTTTAAGGCTGAGGCTCTGGACCCTCAAACGCCTTTTGGGTTCCACACGTTCAAAGCTGGAGAATGTAAGGCGGAGCTCCAAGTTCCAAGCCTCCTTGTCACCGGTGGATTGCTGAGGCTGGTTCGGGACCGCTGCTTCAAGGTTTTTTAAGGTTTGGATTCTGGGGTCTAGGGCTTTGGGTGTCCGTATAAAATTTACACAGTGACTGCGCTGAGTCGGCTGGTGCCAAACACACGTCGTTGACCTTAAGGTGCAGCTCTCATTCGTTCTGCCGGGCCACGGCTTCACGCAGCAAACGGCCGCATGTCAGCTGCAAGCATTCTTCGGCCCACCTCCGCTAGAGCACCAAACCCAAAGCCCTGACCTTCGTTCGGGGTTGGGGGGTGGGGATGGTTCCATGTCTTGCAAATCACTTGCATGAGCATTTTTCATGAGCATCGTTGCGGATTTCGAGGCTGAAGGCCGGGGTATCCCGGGCCTTTGATTGGGCTTGGCTTCAGTGCTTTCTGCTCTCCAGTTTTATGGGCACGGTACTCATCTCTGAACCCCTCTGAAACATCTGGACCCGACTGGGAAGGACCCTCTGTGTCCGGGGGGGGGAAGGGGGCCCATCTAAGCTGTTCTGATCTTCAACATAAGTGTGAGTCTGCCACAGACATCTTGGCATGAAGATAAAGCAAATCGTGGTAATGCCTTGTTTTGAACAGTGCAGATCTGCAACCTAATGACAAAAACCAATAACGCTCCCACACATTGCTTAATGTCAAGGTTCGAAGATATAAAACCATGGATCTGGAGGCACGAGGGGGGGGGGGCAGGCAGGGGGGGGTCGCGGGGCGGGGGGCGCGCGCTCATACCACCTTATATTGGTGAGGGAGCAGTAGCAGCTCTGCTCCATGAAAGCTCTACGGAAACGCCCGCCTTTTCCTTTGAGGTCTACAACAGGGAGAGCACTTATCTTATATGTCTCTACCTAGCAAAGTGAGCCCGTCCCGGCATGCAAAGTTCCTAGGGGCACTACAGGAGAACAAGTGCTTTGGTAAAGGTTTGGAGCTTGGGGCTCATTAAGCTCAGCCACTGTGCCACATCCTCCTTGCTCCAGGACGTCACATGCGCCATCAAGCGTGCAGGGCCTAGGAATCTAGCCTCGATGAATCGGATGGCTTGAGAATCAAACCGCTAGCAGTGAGGTTTCAGGGTGCACTTGATCCGTTGTGACCAAGGGAGGTCCCAAATATGAAGTTCAGGGTCTTCTGGTCATAGGCCTTTGGAGGGGTTGACGGGTGGATGATTCAGCCTTGAGGCCGCGGGCTTTTAGAGCTCTGGTTATGAAAGATTGAAAGTGCCTCTACTGAACTTGACCTTAGAATCCTTAAAGGTGAGGGCCTTCCCTCCGTTACCGTTCAATGAGCCAGCAACAGCACGGAAAGAACCACGTGTTGGCAGTGCGCAGAAAGTAAACTCGCCCAGACCGCATGGCCCGAGAGCTTGGAATGCAACGCCGAACGCTGCGTGAATGCTCTCCTGCCCCAAGAAGGTTCCCTTCATAATTCCATTGCCCAAAGAAGGCTCAGCAACTTCCAAAAGGCCATGCAGTGGCACTGCTACTGCTAATGGCTGCAATACCTTACTGGTACCATCCAGGAGCTCTGCTGTGATACAAAGGTACGAGACGCCGGGATGTGCGCCATGACGATGTTAACAATCCAGTCAGGATGACCGTATTGTCCGATATAGAACACACTGAAGCTCTAGACCCTCCTCCTGGCGATGCAATACTTTCTCCGCAGCTGGCACAGCACCTTGGCGAATACCTTGCTTTGGCGGTCAGGCGTCCTCGAGATGTCATTGCTTTCCCCACCAGCATCCAACCCAACTACAGCCCCGAATCCTAACATCATCTAGCTCATCTTCTGGCAATGCAGGAACACAAAAATGGTGCATTTAGCACAACTTGGTCCAACAACGCATCTGCCTTAGGAAAACACTCTGATGCTGCCCATCTTCCAAGCCTGTCGCATTGGAACATCTAGATTTCGAGAGAAGTTTTGAAGGAATCCCAACATTTGTCGCCCTCGAAAACTAAACCTTTCTAGCACTGAGCACAGGGACGGACATGCCTTGCTCTCAGTTTGAATGTAGCAACCAAACGCATCATATGCACGCAGGTGTCAAGCTGCACAGGACCTGTTGTTGGTGTTTGCTGACCCGTGGACCTCAAACCCTGCAATCTTGAGTCGTGACCAGAGGTTAACATGTCGGAACACAGCCCTCTGCGGCATCAACCAACAACGGGCCCAAATGAACTCAAGTGGTCCTCCGACCGGCGAATCCCTGCGACCGCCTTCGGTGTTGAGATGTGCTGAGGCTTGGATTGGGTTGGGATGTAGGCTCTTGAAGGGCTTCGCTGCTGGGGTGTCGCAAGGCTATAGAAATTTCATGAGAAGTTTTCGTGGATCCTAAGATAGTGCGCGCGGACATGATGGAAAGAGCCCTCCTAAGAGAATGTGTCGCCACAGTTCCTCTTTGACAGGTTGTCAGCGGGCACGTTTCGCATGCCGTTGCTACATAAACTCCGTGTCTGAATTTTGGCGGAGAACTCTGGCATGTCGGCCGGTACTTGCAGCGTGTCCGAGTGTTATGTTGAGACGAGTTCCCAACAGTGCTAACACAAGCCCAAACTTTAAGCTTGGCAGGCTGAAAGATTTTAGCGGATACTTGGTTTATAGCAGTTTGAATCCTTCATAAGCTTCAGGATTTAAAGTTCAAGGTTGTTTCTGGCACGCCTAGGGCCTACAGTGCCTACAGTTTACCTCAACCGGACCCTGAATGCAGCGTCGCCTCGGTCAGCTTTGCCAAGCCCGGCGAGTTGGCCGATTTGGAGGCCTTCAGAGCTCGGGAGGGCAGACGCCCCTCTTTTCGGAGGTTGTTGCGGCTTTTGCCCCTGCAGTAGTTGAAGCCAGGAACTCAATCGCTTCCCCAAAAAACCAAAAAAACCCTCTGTGAATTTTCAGCACCCCAAAATGAGTGCTTGCTACTAGGAGCTTGGAAAGCAGAAAATCCCTTTAGTGGAGGTGATCTTCGTGACGGAGAGGTGATCCGCGACAACCGGGCCTTCGGGCAAAGCGGCTTTTTGCGATCCAGAACCCAAACAACCGGCCCTCGAACTCTCAGATGCTCCGACTGAGATGTCTGGCGAGGCTGACGAAGGTGTCCACGTCAAGGCACAACTGCAGATGGATCTTCTCCAGGTCCGATACCTGCATTTCATGTTATTCTGCAGCTGTGTTTGTCAAGTTCACGACCGAGCAGGCCCATGTAGGTCGATTTGTTTCTTCTTCACTTCTGCCAAACCTACGCCACAGATTCGCGAACCTTTTGGATCCTTGCAAGGAGGGGTTCTGCGATTGACAGAGCTCACGGTTGAACGTTATGGAACTCAGGCCTTAGGGCCTTAGGGAGGGCCGCTTCGTCCTAAAGCATCGTGAGGCAAAGCAGGCATGGTGGCATTGGCGTTGAGAGCACTATCCGGCACTCGCAATTCACAGTTCCAAATCCAACTGCTTGAGCGAAGTTCCATGTCGCGTGAAACTTGCTTGGGCAGCTTGAGATTTTGGAACGGCGGGCCCGAGTTTGAAAACTGTTTCTTTCGAGTCCCTCTCATTGCCCACATCTTTACATTCGCTCTTGCGTTCTGAGTTGTCAAGCTTGTCACGGAACTTCGCCCAGAGCAAAGCCCTGTTGCCTGAACTCTCCCACCGCCAGGTGAGCAGATTTCGGGTTTTGCGACTCTTAAGGTTGGGCCCCCCAAACTCTCATCTTTGCCGAGGAGGCCCGTTAAGTCAGTTTAGGGCAGTGTAGGGGCAAAGCGGGGCACTTTTGCGAGCAACGCCTTCAAGCTTCTCCTGGAAGAATCTAAACTTCCACTTTCGCCTGATTCGCCGGGCAGCCCAAGCAGGGTTAACTTGCGACAATAGGCGGCCAACTTAGGCTGCGGACAAACTCTGAGCATCAAAACTCATTTCCTGGATACTCTGCGCCCATATGCTTTGTTGTGTCCCTTGTTGCCCGGCACGGTGGCATGGACGAGCACGAAATAGGGCTCGGCCAGAGCTCTGCCCAAGCAAGTGCTTCACAGTACATGGACTCTTCAGGAGAGTGACCTTTGTAGCTCAACCGCAACTGCTTGCACCAACTTGCACCAATGCTGGTAACCGTGCAGCGAGTCCTTCTTTGGGGCAAATTGCTGGGTCGGTGGTCCCCCCAAAACCCCCAAAGCTCCCAAAACCCTCCAAACCCCAGAATCCCAAAATTGAAAACTATTACACACCTGGACCCCTGTCTAAATATCGGAAAAGTGCAAAACCCCGAGAACATCACAGTCAACCGAGTCAGAACTCCAAAATGCGCTCTGCTACGCGCCTCCCCGCCCGAACCTCGGCCGCCGAGCCTCCGGAGGGAGACCTCGCAGGAAACACAAAAGTTGTTTGTTTTTTAATGGGTTTTGACGGCCGCGCGTCTGGGACTGCTGGGGTTTGGTCTTATGACAGTATGACCTGATGCTCATGTTCACACTTTCGTCACAAGGTCTTCGCACGCTCTTTCACACACGCCCACATACACACATTCGCCCGCAGATTAGGACTGGCTTTCTTAATATTCCGAGATTTCAGAGCGTAAGCTTTTGCATTGTTGCCCTGCAATGGCACATCTTAAAGTTTAAG